TTATTCCTTCGGCTTCCCGGGGACTTATTCCCGCAGGTTTCGGGGAACTTATTTCCGCCGTATTTGTAATATTGGGACTTATTCCCTTTACTTCCTCTAGCTGTGGTTGCGCAACCACAGCGAGATCCTCTACGAAAGACTCTCCAGTCGATCTAGGATTATCGTTTCACTTAACCTGAGCGATCGATTGTTTCTCTTCTAGATGTTCCCCGCTAGGGATACATCTTTGTCCCGGTCCACTCGACTTATTCGAGTGGTGGACCTTCGGCACAGCCTGTGTTTCCTCTCAGCCGCCGGAACTTTGCTCCGAAGTGTGACCGTTTGTTACACTAAGGTTTTGTGCAGTCGTACTAACGACCGTACCACAAGTGAGGCCATCGCACTTACTCGTAGTACAGCCACACGCTTGTGGACGCTCCAAAACGTTCATCAGATGGCCATCTGATGAACAAGCGGCAGGCATCGTTACTGTTCGATGTTGCCAGTTTACCCATTGTTCGTACCTTCTGAGCCACGGTATTCCAAGGATGACATCAAATTTGTCATCTAAATCCAATACGATAAAGTCATCATCATATCGGGTATCTTCTAGCGTATAGTGGATCTTCACTATACGCTTCATGACGGTTGCGAATGCGCCTGTCGCAAGACGTACCGTCATCCTCGTAGGAGGTGTGTCACATTCACTGAACTTAAAGTGACCATCTTCTAGCGATTGGCGTCGCACAAAATTGTTGGACGCCCCACAATCGACTAGAGCTCGAAGGGACAACTTATTCGTCACTTCGAGTTTCAAGGTAATGAGTGAGATCTCATTACCTAGAGCAGCAACGCACAATGTTTGTGTGTCGGGAGCAACCTTCATCAAGAGGCCTACAAATTCTCTTGACGTTGCTGGACCAGTAGGGTGCTCCGCACCTACTGATCCTGTCCGTTTTTTGACGGTCCATCCCGTTGTTGCGTTTTCGCACCAACAGCGGACCCGCGTCCCTGCCCCTTTCTCATGGGTGGATGGTCATTACGCCCAGTGTTGCGAGACACTGGACGAGGGGCACTACACTCGTAAGCGTAGTGTCCTGTCTTTTGACATCTGTTGCATCTCTGCAACTTCTTGTAGTCTGTAGAGCGAGCCTTCTCGCTCTCTACATAACAGAGTTCCATCGGCTCTGGACCTCCGCTGTCATATCGTCTCGTTTGACGATATGATGTCGAGCTGGCGCGAGCTTGTCTCAGACTGAAGTCTTCCTGTTCCGCAATGGATATGGCTTGTTCTAGTGAATCTAGTTCAAGCCGGAACAGGTGAGTCTTGACGGGACCATCCGCAAGACCCTGCATGAACAATGAAACCAACGTGTGTTCGTCTACCGGATTAGAACTAATACAACTCGTGAGATGTCGTATATGTTGCGCGTAAGCGTGCACGTCACGCTTACCTTGTTTGAGCTTCAAGAGTTTAGTTCGAGCTCTGAACTCAGCTCTAGGCGGTTCAAACGTTTGTCTAAGCCGCGACATGAAGACTTCTAACGACCCAAACGCATATGGGTCGTGCAACTTGAGCCCCAGTGCCCAAGTCTTGGCACGTCCTGCCAGATTTGACTGGGCAAATGCAACTTGCATATCCCCGTCGTCGATGCGACGCGCCCTTATGGCGTCATCCACCTCGACGAACCATCTCAAGAGGGAGTCCTCTTCGACTCCCCTATACTTGGAGATGTCAATCTTCAAGGTCTCGGGTCGACGCGAGTGCATCGACCCACCAGCAGCAGCCTGCTGCTGTCTCAACAGTTCAAACTGTTGAGCAATTCCTGTTATCTCAACAACTCTGTTTGTTGAGAACCTTGTTGGTGGAGCAAGGCTACTTTCTTGCGTTCAGCGTCAAGTTCATTTTAAGTGAACTCGGCGATAGTAGCATGTTGGGCATCTCTATTGAGAGCCTCTAGCATGACGCTAATAGCATGGATGCCCATGGTTGAACCCATCCGTTCAACCGCATCCCATTCGACATCGCTCAAATGGGAGTAGCCGCCACGCGTAGCATGAAAGCTTTGGTCATCTTCATCATCCAACAAATTCATGTTGGATGTGAACGTGGTCCTTGGACGGACTACGAAGTGCTACCAGGTGACGGGGCACTCCTGAAGCTTGTACTGGTGACAGTACAAGCTACTTATTCTGATGACAGAATAAGGCGGTGCCTCGGAACTTCACGTACACTCGTACGTGCAGAGGAAGACGGTAAGAAGAGGTGAGTACTTGGTTAAAGTAAAAAGTAGAACTGTATTTATAATAGTTAATGTCTGCAATAAATCACTATTTATCTTCATCTAACTGTGTCTGAATACAAATGTGCATATCAACTATCTGTTCACCACTCATTGCGTGCGTCTGTCGTGGCGCGTCTTCGTTGGTTGATAGAATGGCCTATATCAACCAATTAGGAACTACTCGTAAGTGCTCTAGAATATTTGTCCTTATGACAATATTCTGAGAATGTAACTCTCACAGTTACATTCTGTAAACAATTTCTTATAAATGGTTATGCAACGAATCACCCCGTTACAGCATTCGCCAGCTATATAGCGCTTCTTTATAAACGCGATTTTCTTATAAAGAAATAAAAGGTGATGTAAACTAAATCATTAGTAAGCTGGTGCTGATTCTGAGACAGGTGCTGCTGATAAGACTTTTGGCCAATGGTGCTGATAGTGAGATTTACTAAACTAAGATCTCTTCTGTCTAATGGCTGAAATTAGTCAGCCCTTAAAAGCCGATAAGATATTCTATACTTCTTTTAGTGGGAAATCATCCGTGTGTCTGAGACACAGGGTACCAAGTACCCAACTACGAGTAACTGTTTTACAGAGTAGAACAGAGGTACACATATGTAGCTGATCGGTGAAAGTCCCACCCACATAAACGGAAGCAGTACGAGCAGAAGCATGAGCAAAGAAGAACAGGCAGAGATGCAGTAAACCGAGGTATACATTTGTAGCTGATCGGTGAAAGTCCCACCCACACAAACGGAAGCAGAACGAGCAGAAGCACGAGCAAAGAAGAACAGGCAGAGATGCAGTAGAAGAGAGGTATACAAATGTAGCTGATCGGTGAAAGTCCCACTCACATAAACGGAAGCAGTAGGAGCAAAGAAGAACAGGCAGAGATGCAGTAGAAGAGAGGTATACAAATGTAGCTGATCGGTGAAAGTCCCACTCACATAAACGGAAGCAGTACGAGCAAAGAAGAACAGGCAGAGATGCAGTAGAACAGAGGTATACAAATGTAGCTGATCGGTGAAAGTCCCACTCACACAAACAGAAGCAGTAGGGGCAGAAGTACGAGCAGAGAAGAACAGGCAGAGATCCAGTAGAACAGAGGTATACAAATGCAGCTGATCGGTGAAAGTCCCACTCACATGAACGGAAGCAGTACGAGCAGAAGCATGAGCAAAGAAGAACAGGCAGAGATGCAGTAAACCGAGGCATACATTTGTAGCTGATCGGTGAAAGTCCCACTCACACAAACAGAAGCAGTAGGGGCAGAAGTACGAGCAGAGAAGAACAGGCAGAGATGCAGTAGAACAGAGGTATACAAATGTAGCTGATCGGTGAAAGTCCCACTCACATGAACGGAAGCAGTACGAGCAGAAGCACGAGCAGAGACGAACAGGCAGAGATGCAGTAGAACAGAAGAATACAAATGTAGCTGATCGGTGAAAGTCCCACCCACATAAACGGAAGCAGTAGGAGCAGAAGCACGAGCAAAGAAAAACAGGCAGAGATGCAGTAGAACAGAGGCATACAAATGCAGCTGATCGGTGAAAGTCCCACTCACACAAACGGAAGCAGTACGAGCAGAAGCACGAGCAGAGACGGACAGGCAGAGATGCAGTAGAACAGAGGTATACAAATGTAGCTGATTGGTGAAAGTCCCACCACAAAAACGGAAGCAGTACGAGCAGAAGCACCAGCAAAGAAAAACAGGCAGAGACGTGGTAGAACTGAGGTGCACACCGGCAGCTGTCGAATGAAGCAGAGAAAAAGGTCTGGCCGTGCTGAATAGGCTGGAGGAAGGAACCGCCCACACGCTTTAACAAAACGCAGGCTTGATTGTGGAAAACAACTAAGAGTAAGCGAGACTCGAACGGTGGCGACATTCCGTGGCTATGCCAGGAATGCAAGACCGACTTCACAGAACGATGATGACGAAGATCTGTTGCAAGAATAACATGCAGACCTGTTATGTCCGGACCCGGGTATCTAATCGGTGACAGTTTTACCACATAAACACTCTTCAATCTGCAGTGCTGGGTGGGGGAGTATAAACAGTACACGAACTGGCGTTAGCCAGCTTTTCTCGAACGACGGCTCTGGAGCCGCCACCATGCCCCCCTCCCGACAGGGGGGGGGACGCGGCTTTGCCAAGGGGCCAGCCGGACGACTTGGGAAACTCTAGCCCGGCCCTCGACTTACCGGAGGACGCGGGGCCTCCGGAGAAGGCTCCTTCTCTCTCCGCTGGTAGCCCCTCATCCTCTGCAAACGGGGCAAGGGCTCAAGCACACGCCGCATCTGCTGCTCACGGGACAGGGGCTCCAGTACACGCCGCATCTTCTGCTCACGGGACAGGGGTTCCAGGGCACGCCGTATCTTCTCCTCTCGCGGACTCTCAGATGCCGACCCCCTCAGTGGCTAGGGAGTCAGGCTTGGCAGGGGATGCTTCCTTCACCATGGCAGACCAGCCGCTGCGTAGCGGCAAGACAGATGCAGTAACGCCGCGGCAAGACGGACCCACCGGGCGCGCTTCGGGGGAGGGTTCCGAGTCCTCCTCGTCGCCTTCGCAGGCTTTCACGCCCCCAGTTCATCCGCGCGACATGTTTGAGGCCCTTACCGCGGCGATGAAGGCTTCTTCGGGGCCCCCGTACCTAGATGTCTGGCGCCAGACCATCCAGGAGTTATTTGCGCTGGAATTTGTCCGCCTTCCAGTCAGCTTCGACGCGTTGCCGGCCGAACGCAAACGGTATCCCAAGCTCACAAGTACCGAGCTGGTGAGTTTGCTGGATTTGTTTAAGCAATGTTTTGTTGTGACATCCGGCCGCTACGTCGACTGGACCCGTTTAGCCCACCAGATCAGTAAGGAGATCCTCGTCACGAAGTGGGCGTTCAAAGAAATCTTGCGCAAGCTGGCCAGCCGACAGAAATGGGCTGTGGCTCCAATCCCGCGGCTGTGGTCTCAAGTCGTGCAGACAGGCAGTGCTGCTGCACCTGCCAGTACGACAGGCCAGCAGCGTCCCGTGTTCGATGACTTTATGTTTGATCCGGCACATTTTTCGGAGGAAGAGACGACCACGCTCCGAGCCATTTGCGCAACGCGCCTTAACTTGACAGGTACTCACCGTCTGCGCGAGGGTACAGATGATGAATGGCGCATCATCATTGGGATTGCGGAAGGGCTTATTGCCTGTCGTCGGCTGCCTGATTTTCTCAATTCTGTCTTCGACAGCGACGAGCGGCTTCGGTTGTGTCGGACTGTTCAGGCGCAGGTCGAGGGACAGTTAGTCTTACAACTTAGACATGGTCGTGATATCCCAATTGGACGCCGGACGACCCACGCTATTACGGAGAAGATTTTGGAATCGGCGGAAATCTTGCGGGTCTGCTTGCCGGATCTTCACCGTTTCCTCGGGTTGGCCAAGACGATAAGCTACAATCGTTCTACCCGTTCAATCCACTTCTATTTCTTTACGCGAGCCATTGCTAAGGCGCACCAGGATGTCGTAGTGCCTTTTCAGGGGAGGGCGTACACGCTCGAGAATGTTCATCACCCGGTCAGGGGCTCGGTCTGGTTGAATCAGCGGGGACCAGACGGGCGGTCGAGCCACCCTCGGGCAGCGTACACCATTTTGCTGTATAATCTCACCCGGTTTGATGATATTGGGCGCATTGCTGCCTACCTCCGCTCCAAGATACCAACGGATTTTGAGCTGGAGGATATGGATACCTGCACCCCGAACTCACGTACGTCCACTGCCTGGAAAGTCACCTTTCATCTGGCGGGTTGCCCGACCTTTCTCCAAGGAGTAGTCAGACTGCTTTGGTTTGGGACCCCCATTATCGTCCGGCATCCGGACGTGGGCCGTCGCCTCCAATGTTTGCAATGTGGTACGCTAGGCCACCCGGCGTCGAGGTGTCAGTTTACTGATGCGCAGTTGCGGGGGGCCGGGCGGGCTGGAGGTCCACGAAGCCGAGCTTTTAGCTGTTGAAGATCTGGCCAAACCGTTTAGTAGCCCTGATGAAATGCGGCAAATGGCGCAGCGACGACTGGTTGTGCAGCAATCAGCCGATGCAGCGGCTCAAGCTGCGGTGACTCCGGCGGTACTGGTCGCCACTTCCAGTCCACCGCCGGCCGCCGAGCCCCAGCCAACAGGTATACCTATCCAATCGGTGTATACTACTCATGTCGCGCACGCGGGCCCGCCTCCTCCGGCCCCAAAACCCCGGCCCGAACAGCCATGGATGAGACGCCCCCTTCGAGGGGGTCGTCGGCCTTGGCCCCCAGTTCAGCCTTCCCCGCCTCAGCTGAACGTCAGCAGCGGGAGTTATCACGTTCTCCAGGAGGATGATAGGGCAGAGGAGGGTCCGTCTTCCCCATTTGAAGGCAGTGTCGCCTCTGCACCTCCGCAGCCGGGGACTGGAGGCTCCTCGACTCCTGCTTTTTCGGCACGGCTGTCCCACTCTCGGCTTCTGCCGGAGGATCAGGCCCGGAAACAAGCAGCCGGTATTCGGGGCCCGGCGGTAGTTATCGCGGGTCCGGCTCTCCTGACCCAGCAGCGACGGGAACGTCTGACTTGCGAAAAGCTTTTAAAGCTGCTGCCGGATCGGCAATGTCACTCGATACCCATGGATCCTAAGCCGTTAGCGGAACCCATCCACATGGGCGAGCTTGTGAGTATTCTGGGACTTCGGGAAATAAACACTCCAGCGAACGGCAATTGTTTGGCGATAGCTCTTGCTCAAGCGGTGGCTGAGTCTGCCTTGACCGCCCCTACCAAGGACCAGGAGCTTCTCACGGCTTGCATTAAACGAGGTATCACGTGTACAGGACTCTTGAACTTGGAAGATCAGGTCCCTCACGACTTGCGGGTGCAGGCACTTAAGAACGTGGGCCGTGGGTGGGCGTCGATGACGCGCACAGAGTCGGCTTCTCAATTCCGCTGGTTTTTGACGGACTTCGCGGCCACCCCATCGGGGCGAACTTCGCATGTGCCTACGGACTGTTGGGGGGGCAGTGACACACTCGGCATGGCAGCCACGTTTTTACAGAGAGACATCTTTGTCGTTCAACGCGAAGAAGCCACCCCTCAGTGGCGTTGCCGCAAGTATCACCCCGTTTCGATGACTGTACGGGGACGGGCGGTGGCTTCTGTAAAAGAGTACCCCCTTTCTATTATGGCGTGTATCGACGAGCTGCAGGCTACCAAAGTCGGGGCGAGTCAGGCTCTACCGTTAGTGTTGCGGTTTGGCGGCAGCCACTACTCGGCATTTCTCCATTCAGCGGGAGTGGCCGATCCGTTAAACCTTACCGATACCCAGGACGGGCCGAGTGCGTCGACTCAGGATCCGGTCCACTCCTTCGGGGACACTAGAGCCACAGCGTTGGTACCATTGGAGGAGAAAAGCGCTTCAGCACTGCCCTCAGACGACAAACTCCTTCCTGACAGCGGTGACCGGACGTCGATCGTCCTTTACGACGCTGGAGACGCGGTCGCTCGAACCTCGGCACAACCCTCTGGTCAATTGGCTTTAACTTCTACTTCGAGCAGCTGTCGCGAACGCGGGATGGCCTCTGCGGCGCGGAAACGGGGCCACGGCGGCTCTCCCCCGCTCCTGGCGGCGTCTGCGGATCCAGGTGCTGTCGTTCCGATCGGCTCTCGCCACAAGAAAGGTCGGGTTCGTTCAGCCCTTCGGAAATCTTCACTAGACGCGCCGGACGACAGAATCGATCGGGACGAATGGCCAGAGCTCTGGAGTTATCTGGGAGCCGAATGGCCGCCGTCAGCAGCAACTCCGTATCCTCTAGTATATGGAGACTCCAACGGGTGGGAGGCTACGGCTCGTTTGGAGCCGGAATTGTTACTACATCACTTGCGCCGCTTCGTCTTTCCAGACGAAGTACTTGCTAGCTTGTCCGACACAGTTTTTGTACAGTGGACGGCGCTGTGGCGCCAGGAGTGCTTATTATCCGGGCTCCTAGAATTCCGACAGCGAGTGACAGAGCTACCCACGGGTGTTTGGCTCGACCAATGGATTGCTCGATCGCAGCAGCGCCTTTCGCCGTCTCTGCTGGCCCCTCTGATTGACAATTCCGACGATTGGAGAAAGTTGCGAGGGATTAACTATGCGGGGGACGACATTTTACGATTGTGTGACCCGCACAGACGCGTCCGAATGAGTCACCACCTCATGTGTGCCATCGTGTTCGACAACGAGATTTTTGCTCTGACGGGGACTGGCGGAAAGCCAGTACGCCCTCCCGAGCAACTCCGTTGCCACTTTCGCTTACTTCGGACCAATAGTACCTACAAGGATACGTACTACCCAGACGGGGATGCTCCGATCGACTGGACTGCGCTCGTTCGCTATTTTACTACTGCTTTGGCCCCGGCAGAGCAGAGGTTCCTCCTCGAGTACTAAGGGCAGCTTACAGCAGAATTTCGTCTTCAGCCCCGAAGTTCCTTTCTTTGAGGAAGCTGACGCCTACAGCCGGCATCGCAAACTTCACGACTGGTCTCCGTCCTGGACTTCAGCAGTTGATCCACTGGATTCTCGGGGTGGGGACAGGCTCTTTATTTCTCAAAACGTGAGGGGCTTCAAGGCTAGCGCTCGGGAAGGGTGGTTGTCGGCGTGGCGTAGTGCGCCTCAGATCCGTCGCCCGCAGGCTTGGTGTATTCAGGAGACGCATGTACATACTGACGAAGAGGCGGGTAGGCTGAGTTCCAGGTGGGCTCAGTTATGGGGTCAACACTTGGATCCTGACGCTCCTCCTCTATCGTTCTGGAGTATTGGCTCTTCTAGCCGTGCTGGTGTTGCCATTCTTCTTACCCCTCATTCTGCTCGTACAGCTTCGGCCTGGGAACCGGAACGCTGGTCACCCCGGGCGATCGCAATTTCCATTGGGGAGGATGTTCTGATCAATGTGTACGCACCTACACTGCGAGGTGAACGGGAAGACTTCTTTACTTCCCTTCTCAGCTGGAATTTGATGGCCTCCAACACTATTATGGCGGGCGACTTTAACTGCGTCCAGTGCCCTCTCCTCGATCGGTACGGCAGTTACCGATCGCACCGATCGGAAAGCCCTGCCCTGGACGCGGCAGTTGCGACACTGGGCTTGGCGGATGCGAGAGATCTTCGGGATCATGCGGATGACGAGGGCACTGGCGATCCTACTGATCATTTCACTTACTGGAATGGGGACCGTGCCAGTCGCATCGATCGTTTCTATGTGCCTGAGGGGTGGGTAGGTCGCGTGCTGTGGATTGAAGCGCGGGTGCCATCCAATCAGTCGGACCATCAGGAGGTTGTGCTACACCTACGTGACCTGAACAAACCTCGTTCGTCATGCCGGCATGGGCGTGTAACATATCCGATTCATTCATCGAACCCTGGCAGGATCGTTGACGAACTCGTCGCGGAAATGGACGGAAGGGCTATAGGTCAGAGCGTTTCTACCCTCACTTGGGACGCGGATGTCACAGAGTGTCAACAGTGCGTTCGACGCATCCGGAAGCGGGTCAAACAGCGCAGAGCGCGATTTCGTCGGAAGATTCAGGGCAGAGCTCGGCGACCTCTCCTGACCCGGCCGCAATTTATCTCCTGCAATATGGAGGAATTACGGCAGGAACATCTGGTGCGACTGGGCCAGAAGCTCGCCAGGACGGCTGACCAGTTGCGCTATTTTTACAAGCGGGTTGCCGACTGGGAACGCAATCAAACAGTCACAACAATTTCGCGCATCCACGGCCCGCATTTTACCCGGGATATGACTAATGCGGATAAATTTGCCTCCGAATGGTCTACAGTCCTTGGCAAAGTTCATTGCCAGGAGGAGAGAGTGGACTTGCCGTCAGCCATTCGCCGTTTTGTCAATCTACCCACAGACCGAGTCTTGTCTTCTGCCGACAACCGGGCTCTCTTGGCTGATTTTTCGGAAGCGGAAGTCCTTGCAGCCGTTTCTGGGCTCAGTCGACATAAGTCGGCGGGACTGGACAGGCTCAACAACGATTTTTACAAGGATACGTCTGCACTTCTTGTCCCCGCCCTGGTCCAGCTCAGCAATCAAATTTTGGCTGGAGCTGATCCCCCGCCTTCATTTCTCGAAGCTTTGATCATACCCTTGCGAAAAAAGGGAGACTCGGCGGATGCGATGGATTACAGACCGATTTCTCTACTCCAAACCAGCTACAAGATCTTTGCGAAAGTGCTGGCAACACGACTGCAACGCGTATTACCAAAAGTCATTGGTGACTCGCAGCAAGGCTTCGTACACGGACGCCAGATGTCTAAACTAGTGTTGATGATGCTCGCTCAACTGGCGACAGCAACATCGGATACAACTACATCCGCCGACGACAGCCGAGTGATCCTCCTACTGGATTTCCGCAAGGCTTATGACACGGTCGATCGCGAATTCCTGTATGAGGCTCTTCGCCAATTTGGTTTCGCGGAAAGGTATGTTCAGCTTATAACTCGTCTACATACTGGTACTTCGGCCGCGTTCCTTGTAAATGGGGAACAGTCTCGTCCCATCTCCGTCGTTTCCGGTATCCGGCAAGGCTGTCCACTCGCCCCTTTGCTTTTTCTCGTCGTGGTGGAGATATTGGGCGTTGCGGTACAGCAATCACCAGATTTGTCTGGGCTTCCTGTCCCTGGACGACATCCGGCAACGCACGTTTTCTCGGCATTTGTGGATGACTCGACGATCTTTCTCGAGAAGGCCAGTCAGCTAGAGCCAGCGATAGCTCTTCTCTCTCAATTTGGGACCCTATCAGGGCTAGTTGCCCAACCCTCCAAGAGTCAGATCATTTGTCTTAATCGGGCTGTGCACGTAGCCGATATGCGGGGCATTCCGGTCCTTCAACATGCGGACACGGTGCGATACCTGGGCTATCAAGTAGGACTGAGACCCTTACACAATTGCAACTGGGCGCTTCGTATCCGGAAGCTTCAACGGAGGCTAATGACAGCTTCCAGGGTGGCGACCAGTGTGGCGAATCGGGTGTTGATCCTCAACTCCATCATTCTCCCGTCTGTTCTGTTCACGGCGGCGGTGTTCGATATGCCTGAGTGGGCACGACTTGCTGTCCACAACCTGTACAAACAATTTTTATGGGCTCATGCGACTTCAACGGAAGCCAGCCGACACAAGATTAACCCGGGACTACTTTTCACCCCCAAAAAGGCAGGGGGGATTGGGTTGGCCTCTTTGGAGGTGGCTATTAAAACGCAGCGTACCAAGCACGCTTTACAGTGGCTCACACAAGCTCAGGACAAGTATTTTGGAGCCTGGAGTGCGTGGGCTTATCAAGGCCGGCCGACAAATTCGAGTCTGGTTCTCCATTGCAGGACGCAGGCAGCTGGGGCTGCATCGTGTGTCGGGGCACCGTCCCCAAATTCATGGGTACCGGACGTTGACAAGCTTCTACACCCTACGGTAGAGCAAGCCACCATTCTCAGCGAGCGGGTACGAACGTACTACCACCCCATCCTCCACGGCGCCAGTAGCTGGTGGGAGGAGGAGGAATGGGTGCTGTCGTATCATCACCCTTTCCCGGCTGGGTTACCTGCGCTCGATCCTCAACAGTGTGCGATTCATCGCTTTTGGGGGACACTAGGCTGGAGTAATAACCCGTGGATCCAGGACGGCAATGGCCTCTCGTTAAAATCCGCTACCTATGACAGGATCGCCATCTGCCCCATCTCGGACCTGCACATTCGGCGAACAGGGCCAACTGAATTTATTTTTCGCATTAAGCCGGTTGGACCCCGATCTTTTCACCACTCGCAGCCTAAACTCCGTCGGTGGGCGACGGCAATCTTGCTGGCATCCCCTACGTTCCCCATTGGGGGCGAATTAGCGCTCGAACCTGAGCTGGTTCTTCGCCATGCACCACCTTTTCGACATGAATGGACCTGGGCCTCGGTCCAACAAGGTCGAGTGGTCGGGAGGCGAGAGGGGTACTTGGAAGTCGCTGACCAGCCTGTTGAACTGCAGCAGAGTGCGGATGGAATTCGCTGGTTTTTCACCACTCACCTACCAGAGTTATCTACTAATTCGGACGAGGACAGATCCGTTTGGGCCCTACGCTTGCGTCGTCACGGCGTCGTGTTTTACTCCCATCCCGGGCATCATGGCTTTCCTTGGGCCGTCGCCGAGTCGGTCGCGAACTTAGCTATACGAAAAGCTATTTCACGCCTGGCGTTCACGTTTCACAAAAGACTTCTTGCAGTCGCATTGCGACCGCTGGTGCGGCGTCTGGAGGCCGTCTGTGACTTCGATCAGTGGCAGCGGGCTGCCGCAAACCAAGACCCGGCACACGTTTGGAAGCATGACAATGGCCTTTCCGACCATCAGGTCTGGACGTGTTACCGTATAGCCACCAAGCAACTCAACTTGTACCATGCCGGCCGTCCGGCGGACAATAGTTGCCGGGCGTTATTGGCGTGTCACGGTTGCAAAGAAACGCCGGCTCACATCTTTTGGGACTGCCCCAAGGCGCGCGCGTGCTGGGGTCAACTCATTACCCATTGGACAGGTGAACGGGCTGGGAGGCCGTGGGAAGAGCGTTGGTTCGTCGGGAGTGTGAATCGTCACGCGCCGGAGATACCGTCCAAGCAGCGTCTTCGGATTTACCATATGCTCCCGGAGGACTTAGAGGCTGGTGTCGCGGTTTGGAAGCGTCTCTGGTTTATTATGAGCAGCATTTGTCTGACTCACTTATGGAATGAGCGGAACGACGCGGTTTTTCGAGGAGTGCAGTCGACGCCTCTCCACAGCGCCGCGCGTTTTTGGGCGCTGGGAATTCGACATCTTACCGCGTTAGCAAAACGCGAACATCGCGGTCCCGCCACAGCTGTCACCGGGGCTATCATGCATACCTGTATCGACCTCTTTATTCTCGAACCTCGGGATAAGCCGATACCTTTAGGTGACAGCCACGACAAGCTACCAGTTCCGGAGCTATTGTCCTGGCTTAGAAGTTTTCAGACATCTTTAGCATAATCATATGTTAATAGACGGACATGACAACAACAACAACAGTTTTACCACATAAACGGAAGCAGTAGGGGCAGAAGCACGAGCAGAGACGAACAGGCAGAGATGCAGTAGAACAGAGGTATACAAATGTAGCTGATCGGTGAAAGTCCCACCCACATAAACGGAAGCAGTACGAGCAGAAGCACGAGCAAAGAAGAACAGGCAGAGATGCAGTAGAACAGAGGTATACAAATGTAGCTGATCGGTGAAAGTCCCACTCACATAAACGGAAGCATTACGAGCAGAAGCACGAGCAAAGAAGAATAGGCAGAGACGTAGTATCACAGAGGTTTGCATCACGTAAGTTGCAGCTGCAGCCCTGAAAGGTGATACACATGGCAGTAATTTGAAATAACGAGCGAATATAAGAAGGACAACGCAAATTCAGATTTTCGGAGGAATGCTCGAATAAGGGACCTTTCGCGCATTTGTATACGACATACATTGTCTGTATTGAATTCCGGCCCTGCGGCCACAGCAAGTAGCAATCAAATATTTCTTCAGCTTAAACAGGTATGGCACATCCGATTGGCACGAGGGGCCAGCTCACGCAATGCCAGCCGTTTCTTTTTTTCGAGTCGCTAGCTATAGAGGTTTGAACTAAAGCTCATTGCGCTATTTGCTCTTAACCGGAAAGATGCGTCTCGACTTTCTACTTCTTCTAATCTCTGCGTCCGCTGACCGTGCGCTGTCGATCCGATCGTCCATGGGCCTGGTTGATCCAAGCACCGTCACTCTCTCGTCTTCGGATTTCAACACTGAGAAAAGAGTCGCTCGTCAACTTCATCTACGTGAGGTCAAGGAGAACGAGGCCAGAGGTCTCCCCCAAGAACTAGAGTCAATGGTTCGTGTTGCTGTGAACAGCATAATTTCTGAAGAAGATTTCAAGTTTCTCTGCAAACATTTCGAGGATGAACGTCCTCTTGCCATTCTTCTGGACAAACACGGGGCGTCTATGAAGGTAGCTGATCAGTACCGTGATATGTTGGAGAGCCTTGTCCGCCCCGTAGCTTACGATCCACAAGCTAGCCTCTAAGTCATCCGTGGCGTCTGCATCAGTCTGTCATACTTGCAGCAGCTAATCAGCATCAATAACAATATCAGTTGGGTTTTAACTTTTCTCGCGCCTTTTCTTTCCATTCACTAGCCGTCCAAATTGTTCGTGGTGGTAGTGCAGTGTAAAACCAGACATCCTTACAAGTATTCATGTGATTTGGTTGTGTTTCCCTGGTCAAAGATTTAGGGGAAATGTTGAACGTACCGGTCGTGAGTGCGTCATGGTGCCGGCGATTGTGTGGGCCATTAAAAACTACTTTTCCATCAATATCTGTTTTTACCCAGTCTAAATCTGACGAGACCATTCTAATTCTCAATATTTCGTCTTATTCAAATGTTTAATCGTATTTGCTTTTATGTAGGTCGCTGGAATGCGGCCAGATGCTAAAGCTGAGATAATAAAAGAAACGCAGAGAAGTGTGGTTGGACACATTCGAAAATCTCTTGTATATTTTAACTCTTTATGTGCAGTACTATTATTACGGTGCACACAGCATTTGTCAAAGGCGTATTAATGCATTTCCATGAATGTTTATGTGTGTCGTTTTGCTTTCTATTCAAGCTAACGTCTGTCATTGTCCACACACATCAAAGAATCGTCTGTAAATGCCTATTATGTTGCATACCTCAACCTTGATTGCCTTATATCTGGCTGCTTTGACGGATTCGGGTCGCCGTTGTTGTCGTGGTCACTGTGAGTGGCATTTTCTCTGACGAAATTATTGTCGACCGAATCATTCGTAATCCATGCTGTAATGAACGTATTGTACGAATTTTTTAAACAGGTCTATCAATTATACTGTAAAGACTGCATTCACCATAATTGTAACGGGGTAGCCCGTTACATGATGTTGACATCAAATGGTGTCAATAGGGAGATTGCCTAGCGTGCCAGTTCCATGCAAAATCACTCAAAATAAATGATATTGAAGGAATTTTATCCCCGGAGTATAATATCCATGCGCTGATCAAGATTGGTTAATACAAGACATATCAACCAAAGGTACAACTGATCGCCGCCAGAAGCGCGTACTGAGTGGTGAGCAGGTTGCCGTCAGACGACAATGTAAGTTAATATAGCTGGATAAAGACCGGAGATATATGGATAGTTTAACTATATCAGATACAGTTCTCTTTTTACCCTCTACTCGAACTAGCAGTTTGAGTAGATCGGTTTCCTCTGCACGTACGAGTGTACGCGAAGTTTCTTAGCACCCCAAATAAAAGGTCCTTGTTAGGACTTGTGTAGTCATTTCTAGCTAAACCATAAATGATAGTTGAATGGCATGGATGTGTACGCATGAAACAAGTGTATTGTTCCTTTCGCGAGAAGTACTGGCTTATAATCTCCACTCTGTTTTGTTTTTGTTGACGTATGTTTTATCTCTGTGCTATCTCAACATTCACGTTGTAGCTCATTGCTTTCCTGTAACCGCCTTACAGCAAATTCGATTGAGATAGGGAAGCGCTCCGGACTCATCCCTGATATAATTAATTCAGTTTACAAAACTGAATCAAATGCAAAGCATTATAGAGCAGCAGTGACTGAAGAACAAATGGATGCTGTTAATTTTTGTATTAACCCAGTACAGAATGTTAGGACAACGTGATCGGCCTGTGCTTGTGAGCGTCTAGCATGTGCTTGTGTGATCGTATTCACCTTCGATCAATTTTAAGCCAATCATGTACGTTCGCCACAATAGTGACCTAGCTAGAGAGTGACTTCTTTTATGCTAACTGACCTATGAGTGAGGACAGGCTACACCGGACTCAGGGAGAGTAAGGTACACACCACTGCGCTATTTACTGACATACGCACAGACAGATAGGTACAGTTTACAAATCCGGTATTCAAACTTGTGCACACTCACAGATAGCGTCAAGACTCGGGCTTGCAATAAATTCGAAGTAGCGTAGGTATCTCAAAATTATAATGGCGTCATTAGAAATGGACTGGGTACAATAGATTTTGATTGAAAATGTTTTTGATTAGCCAGAACAAATGCGTACACACCCAGTTGACATGTTTAAATCAATCGTTTGCCACAAATTCATAATGTAAATACATACAATTACAAGTTGTGCAATGATATATTTAAGTACGCGCCCACTCTTTAATACGTACACATTTATGGAAATGTCAAAAATATCAGTTGCCACAAGTTGTAACGTAATGCATAAAAATTTAAGTTAACTATTCTCTATTAAACGAGCGAAGAATTTATGTAACGGGAACCCTTTGTTTGGGGTGCCACGAACTTCACGTGCACTAGTACGTGCAGAGGAGGCTAATCTACTCAAATGGCTAGTTTGAGTAAAGGTAAAAGAGAACTGTATTTAATATAGTGAAGCAATAAATATAACTTCAGTCTTTATCTAACTATGTTAAACTACGTCGTCGCATGACGACAACCTGCTCACCACTCATTGCGCGCGTCTAGCAGCGATTGGTGGTAATCTATGGGTAATATGTCATATATCAACTAATCATTGATCAGCGAATGAACATAATCCTAGAAGGGAAACATATTCCTTCAATATAATCCATCTAGGATAATATTGGCAGGGAATTGTCACGCTAGACAATTTTCCTAGTGACACCGTTTGGTGTCAATATCATGCAACGGGCTACCCCGTTATGTAACCCCCCCTAAACCATTAATCACCCGTTAACTGAATAAGAATTAATAAAGACAGGGTGACCACCGGTCGATCACTCTCGGAAAGGGAGAACTTGCTGCTCAAATACCGTTCATTTTTTTACCAATCCAACGCATGGTTTCAAAATCAAAGCGAGTTACTACTGTCGCAGCAAGAAAGGCGGCTGCACGCATTCGTGCAGCCGGAGAGAGCACTTCTCACACCTCAGCAGCAGGTGATTTGTCGCCTGCTGTTGTGAAAAATCCACGTGGTGAGTCACCACGTGCAACAGGTACATCCACTGCGTCTGCAGCGGCTGTCGCGAGTCGTAAATCTAGATGAGTCGGAAATAGAGCTCATCGATTCTGGCGAGTCGGATGATGCATCCGACTCGAAGGCGACACCTCACGCCTCCGGATCATCCGGGGCGGATACTACAAGAGCTAGGTTGACTGGCTCTGGGGAACGTGGCGGCATCATGTCTGAGATTTTCGGATCGAGCGATTCTTCCGATGATAGGACGCGTGGTGATAGTAATGATGCACCTATACATCATCATGAGCGAAGTAACTCGAGGGATCAAGCTGTCACTGGTGTCAGTGCTCATGCTGACATAAATTAAGAGGCCAGGTACCAAAATGTCCTACGCCACGTTCTCATGTGGAGTCTCGATGGATGCCGTTATCCAAAGAGTTGGACCGGTCGGCCGACATGACTACCGATCGAGATCGAATCCCGTTGTTCGACTGTAAGAGGAAGTGTCCTTCTAATTCCTGATTCCAGCAAGGAAACTATCCGTGCTGTGTAAGAATTCTTTACCGATGCATTTTCAAACATCGGTGGTACAAGGGGTAGCCGTGTTCGAGACGGTAAAGCCTTGGTGCAAGGATGGAATGCCCTTATCCATAGCATCGAGTTTATTGGTCGTGAGGCCTGGCTCGGTAAACTTGATGCAGCTCGCATCAGGTTTAAGAAGCGCAACCCAGTCGGGGTGCAAAACAAGTTGCACTGGCTGTCAAGAGAAGCAGGATTACCCTGTCCCTCGTAGGTATTTGTGTCCAGGTTGCCTGGACAACTCGAACCGTGCCTCTAGGGAGGCCTACCTCCCTACTGGAGGGCGCGCATCTCTTCTAAGATGGACGAAGAGATTAACACTTTGCAATCCCTGTACTCGCGCTCGAAGAGGTCGTTTTCCGACGGCCCTTCTTCGAACGCAGCGGGTGGATCTCGTTAAATTACTCGCCAAGACCCAGAACATCAACAATCAGCTGGGCACGAGGCTCCCAGCTTCCCCAAGCCGGTGGATAGCCACGCCAGCGGACGAGATAACTTATCCGGACGCCATTCACGTCGCGGTGGCTCAAAATACGCTCCACTAGAAAGCGTTGACCACCGCTTGAGTCCACCAAAGGATGTGGTGGCGGCAGGAACACCTGATCCGCCTCAAGAGTCGTATCAGCTTGATGTTCAGGAGCTGAACCGTGTAACGGAACAGTTGCCAGATGAATTGGATGATGAACGGACTCGGCGTCATGAGCTCCATGATCTTGTAAAGGATAATTACAATTACTTAGCGCACGATCGTTCGGACGATCGTGACACGTTTGCGTTTGTGCAACTTGAGAATGAACGTTCGGCTCATTCTCTACGTGACGAGATGACTGCAGCTCGTCGAGACATCGCTCAACTGAGTGAGCAGGTCGCTTCGCTAGTCGACCAGACTGGCTCGTTGAAATGGGACCACTCGAAGGTGGTCTCGGCTTTCGACCGCGGAGGTGTTCTTCGCATCTCGAAACGGGCTTGTACTGATAGACGGGCGGAGACGACCAACTTAAAACGTAGGATGCGTACGCATCTTACGGGGCAGTTCAATCGTGTGTGCGTTGTCCGTTCGGCGCAACACACGAAATGGACCGTTGTACTTGGCCAGTAATTTACTGCTGCCCACGTTTGTCACCGCGTGTTTCGGTAAGTTTACTGTAGACAGAAAAACTAGGTCTCCTTCATCAAATGAAAGAACATTTGCTCTTTCATGTTTGTCCGAATTTCTTTCCTGTCATTCTAGTGCATCTGAAATAGAGTCTTGAACGAAGAGGACAACCGCATCGCGAGTCAGCAGAAATTCCTCTGCTAATTTTTCCTTTTCAACAGCAATGCGCTTCGTGTGCACTGCTGGAAGAACGCTGTCTTAACCAGTGAAAGCGTCATCGGCCTCACTTTAGCAGTCATCTGTGACGCTAAATATACCGGCATCGTCGTCATCATCATGATCATCGATATCGATCGCATTAAAATCGGCATCCATCACATCGACACCATTGTCGACGGGTGATGAGCAAGAACCAGATCGGTTTTTGTTTGAGCGAGTTCACCCCCCCTTAAAATAGAGTTACAGACTAAGAAGGCGGATAAACGTGGATGGCGCAGGCTATTCACGACGAACGTTGTATGCGTTGTCGACGTATGCACCGAGTTGTTGATGGCGAATCCCGCCATTGGCAAGAACTCATTCTAACTCGCAAACGGGTGGACGTACCCTTGAAGTATCTCTTTGAGGACGCGGTTGACGCGTTACGTCTGACCATCTTTTTCTGAATGATCAGAAGTTGACATCTATAAATGTGTTCCAAGTGAACGTAACACGGATTGTCAGAACTCTGCTGTAAAACGGGGGTCTCTATCAGACACGAGTTCACGGGGTAAATCGTGAAGTCGGAAGATAGTATCGATGAAGACACGCGCACAGCCCTGGGCTGTGATTGACTTCGGTACAGCAACAAGATGTACCATCTTGATAAATCGATCAACAAACACAAGAATACCAGTATTCATGTGAACGTCTTTGGGATTCCGAAGACGAAGTCCATCGATGCCGACTGCCAACACGTAGTAGAACTCGGTAGAGGCTGCAAGGGTGCGTGGGATGAAGGACTAGGCTTCACCCATTGACAAACTTCGCAAGCGCGAATGTATTTGCGCACAAACTTCTACTGGCGGGGCCAGTAGAAGTCACGAATCACCACGAGGTAAGTCTTTTCTCTACCGCGATGCCCACTTGTTGGGGAATCGTGACACTCATACATGATGCGCAATCGAAAATCATAATGAGCCGGAACGACGACACGAGGTGTGTCGCTGTTGACTGCTGTATGGTACACCAATCCATCACGACCAAAATACCCATCGGTTGAAGGGCGGTATTGAGACGACAAGCTTGTCAAAGCAAGATACACGGATTGGATATGTAATCCATCAGTCGCAGAAGAGACTCATCTTCTGCGTATGCTTTTCGCACATCGTCGAGCAGATTCGACGACGGAACACTCACTGTTAGTGTCGCTACCGTGGGATCACCCCTACTGTTGGGTTGAGCAGTCGGCTCGAAATCGGGCCGACGCGAAAGAGCACCAGCGACGTTATAGTCGTCCTAGTTTATACTAGACGGAGAAGTTGTACTCCGCGAAAAAAGACAGCCACCTCGCCATTCGTTGCGAGAGGTGTGGACTGTTTACGGCCGTGCGTAACGACGCGTGGTCGGTATAAACGATGAAGGGCCTATCTCGTAAGAGATATACCCGAAACTTAGCCAGTGCATACTTCATGGCAAGGAGTTCTTTGTCATGCACCGGGTAATTACGCTCAGCTTCTTGCAGCTGACGCGATTAATAACAGACGACGCGCTCAAAGCCGTCTGAGTCGTACTGCATTAGCGCACAGCCGATCGCAAATCGCTGGCGTCACAGACCACGTCGAATGGTCTGTCCTGATCTGCAATCGCCAACACAGGCGATTGTATCAAGCTTTTCTTGATGCCTTTAAATGAGTGCTGACACCCAGCGCCCCATGACCACCTCTCGTTTTTCTTTAGCAGACAAGAGAGATGTACGGCCATCTTGGCGTGGTTGCGCGAGTACTTGTGCAAGTACGCCGCCAAGCCAAGGAACTTTCAAGGTCCCTTGACGTCGACGGGCATGGGCCAGTCGCTAATAGCCTTGATCTTTTACGGATCAGGGCGCAAACCGTTTTTACCCACGATGCAGCCAAGAAGTGGTAATTAGTTCGCTGCGAATATACACTAATTGAGGTTCGCGAAAAACTTGTGCTCACGCAGAAGTGTAAGAACCCTTCGGACGTGGTACCTGTGAACCTCCACGTCCGTCTTTCCATCCATATTCCGGCTATGTACAAAGACATCGTCAAAGTAACTCGGTGCGAAATCGCGCACTGATCGCAACAGTTTCGTAACACATCTGTTGAACGTTGCAGGGGCGTTACTTAGCCCCTGTGGCATCACTAGCCACTCCCAGAGCATACCACTGGGAGGGCTCACTGCTGTGTACGGGATGTCCCGTTCACGCATTAGGATCTGATCGAATCGATCCATCAGATCCATGGACGAAAAGATGGTACTCTTTGCCATACCATCTATGATGACGTCCTTCCTTGGTATCGGCCTCTGAGCCGGTACCGTTGCAGCAGTCAATTTGTCGAACGCGTGCACTATCCGCCACCCTTCTGTTTCCTTTTGCACACAGAAGGTAAGAGAGCTGTGTGGGTATGTTAATTCCTCACATGACCAGCCGCTAAGCGATCGGCAAAGAATTTGTCGATCGCTGTGACCTGTTCACGAGACAGAGGCCAATGCTTCATGACACAGTATTTCGAACCGGGTTTCAGTTCAATTTCATGCCGAGTGCCTTTGTCTTTAGGCGACTCGCATGGCACAGATTCAAGGAAAACATTCCCTTAATTCAACCAAATCCTTATATAAAGGATTCGTCTTCAGATACTTCCAAGATTGAGACGTGCATCGCTCGATCCGAGTCTTCTCATCGAGGGTACTCTCGTCCATAGATGAGATACTTAGAACCCGTTCGTTCTAAGCAAACACTTGTGCCGACCGAATATCGGCGACTTACTCGTCCTCTGTGACAAGTACACAGATCTGCTTGATCTTGTCACTACGCAGATCTCGCAAGAATCTTTTAGATTCTACCCTTGGTAACTTGACTACCTCCGAAGCTGACTTTGGGGGCGTAACCAGATCAAGTGTATAAGCGCCTACTCTCAATCCGTTATTCACCAAGACATTCATGGTCTCGGTGATTTCCTGGGAAACACACCCACAGGTGATTGGGGATTCACACCCTCAACATAACTCTCTCGGGAGTTATCACTCTCAGGAACGCTGGAACTTTCTTCCATTACGTGTACTGACTGTGGGTGCACTACCACAGTCACTTCTTCTTCGATCCAACTTCTTTCAATCGATCGGGCTTGCTGTACGATCGACTCTATGTTAGTTGGTCTTGCTGTAACGTGTTGTTCACCCTGAAAAACGCTAATCTCTCTTCTTGGATGCACCCATCTTAGTGTGCATCCATGTTTCAGTCCACTTGATCTCTTCAAGTGGTGAACCTTCGGCACAACCTGTATCTCTACACAGGTGCCGGAAACTGGTTCCACAGTGTAGTGGCCTTCTACACTGCTATCTTGTGTTGTCGTACTAACGACCGTACCACAAGTGAGGCCATCGCACTCACTCGTAGTACATCCACACGCTTGTGGACGCTCCAAGACGTTCATCAGATGGCAAACCGATGAACCAACGGCAGGCGTCTTCACGTATCAATGCTGCCAGCTAACCCATGGCTGGTACTTTCTAAGCCATGGCAGACCAAGGATGACATCAAATTTGTCGTCCAAATCCAGTACGATAAATTCATCATCGTACTGCTTTCCTTCTAGCATGTAGTGGATTCCCATCACCCGTTTGTTCACTGTTACGGATGCGCCTGTAGCAAGGCACACCATCATCCTCGTTGGAGGGAACACTCGCTCAACATAGTTGAGTCTACTATCCTCCAGCGACTGGCGTCGAAAAAAACTGTTTGACGCCACACAGTCAACTAGGGCGCGAAGTGACATTCCACTTGTCACTTCGATCTTTAAAGTGATGAGGGACTACTCATCACTAAGAACAGTGACACACAGAGACAGTGTGTTGGGATTAATCTTCGTCAAGAGTCCTGCAAATCTCTTGACGTTGCTAGATCATCAGGGTGCTCCGCCCCTACTGACCCTGTCCATTTTTGGCGGTCCGACTTGCTGTCGCGGCTTAGCGACATGGTCTGACCCACGCCTCGGACCTTTCCATGGTCATCACGTCCTGTCTTTGGACGTGTTGCGATGCTTGGGACACTACACTCATGAGCGTAGTGTCCTAGATTCATACAGCGATGACATCTCACCGTTCGCCTGTGACTCAGAGAGCGAGATTTCTCCTCTAGATGTAACAGAGATCCATCGGTCCGGGACCTCCTGTTTCCTGTAGTCTCGTCGGACGATAGTTGGACGAGTAAGCCTGAGACTGTCTTAGGCTGAAGTCTTTTTGTTCCACATACTCTATCGCCTTTTCCAGCGTTTGGAAGTCTTCTCAGAACATGTAGGTGAGCTTGTGCTCATCAACAGGGTTTTTTTACGACTCTACTCGCAAGGTAGCGTAGATGTTGTGCGTAAGCATGCACATCATGCTTACCTTGCTTGAGCCTCAGGAGTGCAGAGCGTGCTCTGAACTCGGCTCTCGGCTGGTCAAACGTCTTTTTTAGCCGAGACGCTAAGATCTCCTACGACTTAAACACGTTTGGGTCGCGAAGCTTCAGCCCTAAGGCCCAAGTCTTTGCTCGTTCTGTCAAATTTGACATGGCGAAGGTGACTTGCATCGCGTCACCCTCGATGTGACGGGCCCTGATGGCGTCGTCTAACTCGACGAACCATCTCAACAGGTAACCTTCATTGGTTTTCTTGTACCTTCGGATATCTATCTTCAAGGTTTCGGGTCGACGCATGTGCGTCGGCCTGCCCATCGATTGATGAAAGCCTTGCCACAACCGCAAGGCTCTCTTCTGTATTTCGACGGTGAGTTCCCATTGTAGGAACTTATTTTTAGTAGCATGTTGCTAGTCTTTGCTGATAGACTCCAACATGCCATCGATGGCGGGTTCGTCCATGAGCACACTCATGCGGCCAACTACCTCCCATTTCAAGTCATTTAAATGGGAATAGCCTTCACGTGTGACGTGAAAGCTGTCGTCTTCTACGTCCAACATGTTCATGTTGGATGGTCACTAAGTAGTCGTTGGAAGGACTACAACGTGCTACCAGGTGTAACGGGGCACCCTTTGCTTGGGCGCCACGAAACTTCACGTTCACTAGTACGTGCAGAGGAATGTAATCCATTCAACGACTAAGCTGAGTAAAGGGTAAAAGAGAACTGTATTTAATATAGTGAAGCAATAAATATAACTTCAGTCTTTATCTAAATATGTTAAACTACGTCGTCGTATGACAACAACCTGCTCACCACTCATTGCGCACGTCTAGCAGCGATTGGTGGTAATCTATGGGTAATATGTCATATATCAACTAATCATTGATCAGCGAATGAACATAATCCTAGAAGGGAAACATATTCCTTCAATATAATCCATCTAGGATAATATTGGCAGGGAATTGTCACGCTGGACAATATTCTTATTGACACATAAGATCCGCTGTCGGAAGTGGTCTCTCTCACGCGGTTAGGGAGCCAAGGGAGCCAAGTAAAGGCCAGGATTTTAACACCCCTGAAACAACAACAAGGAAAGCCCAGTAAAAGACAAGCTACTTGAAGAACTTAGTTGTAATTACAATCCCGACAAGTCGATCGAGTGGCCATCTACCGGCCCAACCAGTGGAGCAAATAATCACTTGAGGCCCGGGTCTACTTCTGCCAAGATCTAAGGATTTTCCCCCACATCTGAGTCACCCGAATTGTGCGACCATCAAGCCAAACGGTACACAAGGTGAGTCATCTTCGTACGCAGAATCGGGAAAACCCCCCGTAAGTCGGTAGTCCAGCGCAGAGATTGTTTTGCGAGCTTGAAGCGCAAATCAGAAGATTCCTTCCATTGTAACGGGGTGAATCGTTACATAACAATTTATTAGAAATTGTTAATAGAATATAACTATGAGAGTTATGTTCTCAGAATATTGTCATAAGGACAAATTTTCTAGAGCACTTACGAGTGGTTCCTGATTGGTTGATATAGGCCATTATATCAACCAACGAATACGCGCCACGACAGACGCACGCAATGAGTGGTGAACAGATAGTTGATATGCACATTTGTATTCAGACACAGTTAGATGAAGATAAATAGTGATTTATTGCAGACATTAACTATTATAAATACAGTTCTACATTTTACTTTAACCAAGTACTCGCCTCTTCTTACCGTCTTCCTCTGCACGTACGAGTGTACGTGAAGTTCCGAGGCACCGCCTTATTCTGTCATCAGAATAAGTAGCTTGTACTGTCACCAGTACAAGCTTCAGGGTGCCCCGTCACCTGGTAGCACTTCGTAGTCCGTCCAAGGACCACGTTCACATCCAACATGAATGTGTTGGATGATGAAGATGATCAAAGCTTTCACACTACGCGTGACGGCTACTCCCATTTGGGCGATATCGAATGGGATGCGGTTGAACGGATGGGTTCAACCATGGGCATCCATGCTGTTAGCGTCATGCTAGAGGCTCTCAATAGAGATGCCCAACATGCTACTATCGCCAAGTTCACTCAAAATGAACTTGATGCTGAACGCGAGAAAGTATCCTTGCTTCACCAACAAGGTTCTCAACAAACAGAGTTGTTGAGATAACAGGGTGCTCAACAGTTTGAACTGTTGAGACAGCAGCAGGCTGCTGCTGGTGGGTCGATGCACTCGCGTCGACCCGAGACCTTGAAGATTGACATCTCCAAGTATAGGGGAGTCGAAGAGGACTCTCTCTTGAGATGGTTCGTCGAATTAGACGACCCCATAATGGCGCGTCGCATCGACGACGGGGATATGCAAGTTGCATTTGCCCAGTCAAATCTGGCAGGACGTGCCAAGACTTGGGCACTGGGGCTCAAGTTGCACGACCCATATGCGTTTGGGTCGTTGGAAGTCTTCATGTCGCGGCTTAGACAAACGTTTGAACCACCTAGAGCTGAGTTCAGAGCTCGAACTAAACTCTTGAAGCTCAAACAAGGTAAGCGTGATGTGCACGCTTACGCGCAACATATACGACATCTCACGAGTTGTATTAGCTCTAATCCGGTAGACGAACACACGTTGGTTTCATTGTTCATGCAGGGTCTTGCGGATGGTCCCGTCAAGACACACCTGTTCCGGCTTGAACTAGATTCACTAGAACAAGCCATATCCATTGCGGAACAGGAAGACTTCAGTCTGAGACAAGCTCGCGCCAGCTCGACATCATATCGTCAACCGAGACGATATGACAGCGGAGGTCCAGAGCCGATGGAACTCTGTTATGTAGAGAGCGAGAAGGCTCGCTCTACAGACTACAAGAAGTTGCAGAGATGCAACAGATGTCAAAAGACAGGACACTACGCTTACGATTGTAGTGCCCCTCGTCCAGTGTCTCGCAACACTGGGCGTAGTGACCGTCCACCCATGAGAAAGGGGCAGGGACGCGGGTCCGCTGTTGGTGCGAAAACGCAACAACGGGATGGACCGTCAAAAAACGGACAGGATCAGTAGGTGCGGAGCACCCTACTGGTCCAGCAACGTCAAGAGAATTTGTAGGCCTCTTGATGAAGGTTGCTCCCGACACACAAACATTGTGCGTTGCTGCTCTAGGTAATGAGATCTCACCCATTACCTTGAAACTCGAAGTGACAAATAAGTTGTCCCTTCGAGCTCTAGTCGATTGTGGGGCGTCCAACAATTTTGTGCGACGCCAATCGCTAGAAGATGGTCATTTTAAGTTCAGTGAATGTGACACACCTCCTACAAGGATGACGGTACATCTTGTGACAGGCGCCTTCGTAACCTTCATGAAACGTATAGTGAAGATCCGCTATACGCTAGAAGATACCCAATATGATGATGACTTTATCGTATTGGATTTGGATGCCAAATTTGATGTCATCCTTGGAATACCGTGGCTCAGAAGGTACGAACCACGGGCAAACTGGCAACATCGAACAGTAACGATGCCTGCCGCTTGTTCATCAGATGGCTATCTGATGAACGTTTTGGAGCGTCCACAAGCGTGTGGATGTACTACGAGTGAGTGCGATGGCCTCACTTGTGGTGCGGTCGTTAGTACGACTGCACAAAACCTTAGTGTAACAAACGGTCACACTTCGGAGCAAAGTTCCGGCGGCTGAGAGGAAACACAGGCTGTGCCGAAGGTCCACCACTCGAATAAGTCGAGTGGACCGGGACAAAGATGTATCCCTAGCGGGGAACATCTAGAAGAGAAACAATCGATCGCTCAGGTTAAGTGAAACGATAATCCTATATCGACTGGAGAGTCTTTCGTAGAGGATCTCGCTGTGGTTGCGCAACCCCAGCTAGAGGAAGTAAAGGGAATAAGTCCCAATATTACAAATACGGCCGAAATAAGTTCCCCGAAACCCGCGGGAATAAGTCCCCGGGAAGCCGAAGGGATAAGTCCTTTGAGGCCTGAGGGAATAAGTCTCCAGGAAATGACTGAGACATTGAATGTCATAGTCAATAACGGATCAAGTGTGGGCGCTTACACACTTGATCTGATTGCGCCTCCGAAGTTGACTTCGGAGATCACTTAGTTGCCAACGCTCGAACACAAAAGGTTCTTGCGTGATCTGCGTAGTGGCAAAGTCAAGCAGATCTGCGTACTCGTCGCTGACGACGAGTGTGTAGCCGACATAAGGTCAGCAACAGTGTTTACTGAGAACGAGAGAGTTCTCAGTAGTTCATCTATGGACGAGAGTGTCCTAGATGAAAAGACACGAATTGAGCGACATGAATCCCAATCGTGGGAATCGCTCAAGACAAATCCTCTCTATGAAGATTTGGTTGAATTCAAGGGTGTATTCTCTGAAACTGTTCCGTGCAAATTACCGAAGGATAAAGGTACTCGAAACGAGGTCGAGCTTAAACCAGGATCGAAGTACTGTGTCATGAAGCAGTGGCCACTGCCTCGTGAACAAGTACTTGCGATCGACAAGTTCTTTGCCGATCGTTTAGCTGCGGGCCATGTGAGGGAATCAACTTCCCCACATAGCTCTCCGACCTTCTGTGTGCAAAAAGCAACAGGAGGGTCGCGGGTTGTGCATGCGTTTAACAAGTTGAATGCTGCAACGGTACCGGCTCAGACTCCGATACCAAGGTAGGACGTAATCATTGATGGTATGTCAAAGAGTACCATCTTTTCGCCCATGGATTTGATGGATGGATTCTACCAAATCCCTATGCGAGATCCAGACATACCCTATACCGCAGTGAGCACGCCTAGCGGCATGCTCTGGTAATGGCTAAAATGCCCCTGCCACGTTCAACAGATGTGTATCACATCTGTTGAGACCAGTACGAGAATTTGCACCGAGTAATTTCGATGACGTATCCATCCATAGTCGGGCTATGGATGGAAAGTCGGACGTTGAGGTTCATAGATACCACGTCCGACAGGTTCTTACAATCATGCGTGAGCGTCAATTGTATGCAAATCTCAAGAAGTGTGTATTTGCAGCAAGCAAAATACCACTTCTTGGGTGCATCGTTGTAAGAGCGGTGTACGTCCTGATCCTGAAAAGATCAAGGCGATCAACGACTGGCCTGTGCCGGTTGATGTCAAAGGTCTTCGAAAATTCCTTGGGTTACCGGCGTATTTGCGTAAGGATTCACGCAATTACGCCGAGATGACTGTACACCTCTCTCGTTTGTTGAAAAAGAACGAGAGAAACGCTGAATGTCAGCGCTCCTTTTATGGTATCAAGCAGAGCTTGATACAATCCCCAGTCCTAGCAATAGCCGATCAGGACAGGCCATTTCATGTGGTCTGTGATGCCAGCGATTTCGCAATCGGCTGTGCATTAATGCAGTTCGATCTTGAAGGCGTTGAACGCGTCGTCTGCTATCAGCCGCGTCAGCTGCAACCAGCTGAGCGGAACTATCCAGTGCATGACAAGTAACCCCTTGCCACGAAGTATGCACTCGCGAATTTCAGAGTCTATCTATTAGGAGATAGACCGTTCATTGTTTACACAGACCATGCGTCGTTACGCACGGCAGTAAATAGCCCGCAGCTTTCACAACGAATAGTGCGGTGGTTGTCATTCTTTGCAGAACACAACTTTACGGTATAGTACTAACCAGGACGACTTAATGTCGTCGCTGATGCACTCTCACGTCGGCCCGACTTGTAACCAGTCGTGAAACCCAACAGTGAGACAGTCACTGTTGCGGTTATGACGTCCTCAGTACCATCTTCAACGTTGCATGATGATGTGAGGCGGGTGTATGCCCAAGATGCTGAAATTGCGAAGTTGTTGACACATCTCCCTCAACCATCTCGAGAATCGTTGAAACAGTTATCGTCTGCGTATCGATCTGCATCAGATCGATACACTACTTGCAACGGGTTACTGTATTATACAGCCGTTTCTGGTGTCACACCACGTGTTGTCATTCCAGATGATGCTGATCTGCGTTTGCGGATCATGTTCGAGTATCACGGTACTCCGATAGGAGGACATCGTGGCCGTGAGAAACATATCTCACGGTGAGTCGAGACTTTTACTGGCCCCGCCAGTATCAGTTTGTGCGAAAGTATGTTAACGCCTGCAAAGTCTGTCAACGAGTGAAGTCAAGTCCTTCACTGCGTGCACCTTTGCAGCCTCTACCGGTTCTGGCAGAGTGCTGGGAATCCACCTCAATGGATTTTTTCTTCGGGTTACCCAAAGACGCACGCAAGAATACGGGTATTCTTGTATTTTTTGGCAGATTCAGCAAAATGGTACACCTTGTGGCTTTGTGGGAGTCAATCTCGGCGAGTGGCTGTGCTTATGTCTTTATCGACACCATCTTCCGACTTCATGGGTTGTCCCGTGAACTCGTATCAGACAGAGATCCACGCTTCACTGCTGAATTCTGGCGTTCCGTGTTCAAATCACTCGGAACGCGCTTGAAGATGTCGACATCTGATCATCCAGATTCGGATGGTCAGACGGAACGAGCCAATCGTGTCCTCGAAGCTTATACTTCGAGGATACGTACACTCCTTCAAGAGTTGGAGTGAGTTCTTGCCAATGGTAGAGTTTGCCATTGACAACTCGGTGCATGCGTCCACGACACATAAACCGTTTTACGTGAATGGCTTGCGCCATCCGCGTGTACCCACCTTACTCGAGTGTAACTCTGGTTTAAGGGGGGGGACTCGCGCGAGCAAAAACCGATTTGGTTCACGCTCGTCACGCTCTGACGATGAGGTCATTGCGTTTGATGCCGATATCGACAACATCGATATCGAAGAAGATGATGCCAGTGAGAGTGCGAAAGCCCTCATTGAAGAAAAGGTTGATGTTGCTGCAGTGCACTCACAGCGCACTGAAGCTAACGAGTCATCAGATGAATTCATACTGGCTCGTGAAACGGTAGTCCGTTTTGTGCAAGACTCCATCGCCGAAGCGGTGGATAAGCAAAAGCAAAACGCTGACAAGAATGGAAGGGCAAACACTCTTTTGTTTAATAAAGGTGACTTAGTCCTACTGTCTACGGTTAATCTACCAAAGCATGTAAAGACTAACTTGGGTGGTAGTAAACTACTACCCAAGTACATCGGCCCATTTCGTGTACTGCACCGCCTAGGAAATGCATACACGATCGGGTTGCCACGTAAGATGCGAACGCATCCCACGTTTTACGTTGGTCGGCTTAAGCCGTACCATCAGTACGCTGTCTATTCCGATGAAGAACGCACTTGCACTCAAGAATCTCGCAGAGAGCCTTGTGCTCCGATGATGGGCATCGATAAAGGTCTGAAGAGCATTTATCTCAGCCCGAGAACGGTCAATTTCCGCATGAGCTACCCTTAGCTCGTTACGCAGAGAAGTCAAGGCTCTCTCGTTCTCAAGCTGAGCTAAGGCAAACTCAGCTCGATGCTTCAAGACAGCGTCCGCCAACTCAAGACGTCTGTCCCGCTCATTCTCGAGGTCGCCGCGTAATGCAAGAGTTACGCGATCAAAGAGGCTTGGATAGTGTCTTCTCTCCTCCTCCACCTCCTCTGGAGGACTCTCGTGGTGGCCAGCGCTATCTGATTAAGCGGCTGTTGAACCACCGCGACGTGAACGGGCGTCGGAAGAGTTACCTCGTCCGGTAGCGCAGCTATCCCCCGTCCTGGGATACTTGGGAGCCCCGCTCCCAAGTGATGGTTGTCGTACTGGGTCTGGGTTAGCAGTATGACGCGGCAAATCCAGTGCCGCAGAAGGACCGCTGGAGAAAGTCTTCCCGGCACGGTCGTAAAGGGATTTCAGGTTTTCAATTCCTTCGTACATCTTACTAGAGATACGAGATACACGCGCCACCACGGGCTAGTAAAGAGGTAGGCCTCCTTAGGTGCTCGTGCAGAGTTCTTCACACAACATGGGCACGAGTCTCCCCAGATGAGGCAGGGTAATTCCTTCTCCCTTGACAGACGATGCAGCTTGTAGCGTGCACCTGTCGAGGTTCGCTTTTCAACTTATCACGAGCTTTGATAAGTTTGTCGTTCCAAACGTCACGACCTACATCCCCGAGGTTATGGATGTAGGCGTTCCACGCTTGAAGCAGTGAGGGATTATCACGTTTGTGATTCCCACGGTACCGTCGATGTCTAAAGAAAGCATCGATGAAGAATTCATTCTCAGCGCGATAGTTTTTCGCACTGGGGTCAAGGTGATGGATCCTTGACAAATCGAACAACCGTGTTCGATAACGATCACTCGTCGTCGCCGACAAGTGATCCATGACGGATTTAGGAGGCATCCATGCCTTCTTCTCGGGAGCGAGACGCAAGACATTGCGGTCCCGCTCTTCCTGCGACGTGCCGACAGAAGGACTGACACCTCGTTGCGAAGTGGTGTCAATAGGAGAACCGACACCACTGTTAGCGCCCGAGTCTTGCGATCTCGAGCGCCTTCGCTTTGGCGATGGTTCGTCTGATTCGTCAGACGAACCAAAGATACTACGACGCGTAGCATCATCCATGCCACGCTTGGCAGGCGGCTTGGTTTCGATCGCCATCGATACAGATCCATCTTCCGTATCAGGAGAGTATGAGACTCCGAGCTCATACTCTGTGAAGACATGAGTGTCTTCATGACGAGCGCCTGCATCACCAGGAGACACAGGCTGAGTCGCTTCAGCAACCGATGAGACATCAGCTGCTGCGGTTTCTGCTTCGGTATCCGCGCAGAGACGTGCGGACGCGCTCTCGGCGGCCTTGCTCGCGCATCGCATGGGCTTGCTAACCATGCGATGAGATGTTGGAAAGTGGACTCGGACCAACAAGTGCAAACCCTGTCCCAAATGATTTGGGACGAGTATCCATTTAGTCAATCAGTCACTTAAGTGACTGATGGTTAAGGGGGGGTGATGTAACGAGGTGAACCGTTACATAACAATTTATAAGAAATTGTTAATAGAATATAACTATGAGAGTTATGTTCTCAGAATATTGTCATAAGGATAAATATTCTGTAGCACTTACGAGTATTTCCTGATTGGTTGATATAGGCCATTATATCAACCAACGAAGACGCGCCACGACAGACGCACGCAATGAGTGGTGAACAGATAGTTGATATGCACATTTGTATTCAGACACAGTTAGATGAAGATAAATAGTGATTTATTGCAGACATTAACTATTATAAACACAGTTCTACTTTTAACTTTAACCAAGTACTCGCTTCTTCTTACCGTCTTCCTCTGCACGTACGAGTGTACGTGAAGTTCCGAGGCACCGCCTTATTCTATCATCAGAATAAGTAGCTTGTACTGTCACCAGTACAAGCTCCAGGGTGCCCCGTTACACCTGGTAGCACTTCGTAGTCCGTCCAAGGACCACGTTCACATCTAACATGAATATGTTGGATGATGAAGATGACCAAAGCTTTCGCGCTACGCGTGACGGCTACTCTCATTTGAGCGATATCGAATGGGATGCGGTTGAACGGATGGGTTCAACCATGGGCATCCATGCTATTAGCGTCATGCTAGAGGCTCTCAATAGAGATGCCCAACATGCTACAATCGCCAAGTTTATTCAAAATGAACTTGACGCTGAACGCGAGAAAATAGCCTTGCTTCACCAACAAGGTTCTCAACAAGCAGAGTTGTTGAGATAACAAGGTGCTCAACAGTTTGAACTGTTGAGACAGCAGCAGGCTGCTGCTGGTGGGTCGATGCACTCGCGTCGACCCGAGACCTTGAAGATTGACATCTCCAAGTATAGGAGAGTCGAAGAGGACTCCCTCTTGAGATGGTTTGTCGAATTAGACGACCCCATAATGGCGCGTCGCATCGACGACGGGGATATGCAAGTTGCATTTGCCCAGTCAAATCTGGCAGGACGTGCCAAGACTTGGGCACTGGGACTCAAGTTGCACGATATATACGCGTTTGGGTCGTTAGAAGTCTTCAAGTCGCGGCTCAGACAAACATTTGAACCGTCTAAAGCTGAGTTCATAGCTCGAACCGAACTCTTGAAGCTCAAACAGGGTAAGCGTGATGTGCACGCTTACGCACAACATATACGACATCTCACGAGTTGCATAAGTTCCAATCCGGTGGATGAACATACGTTGGTTTCGGTGTTCATGCAGGGTCTTGCGGATGGTCCCGTCAAGACTTACCTGTTCCGACTTGAACTAGATTCACTAGAACAAGCCATTTTCATTGCGGAACAGGAAGACTTCAGTCTGAGACAAGCTCGCGCCAGCTCGACATCATATCGTCCACCGAGACGATATGACAGCGGAAGTCCAGAGCCAATGGAACTCTGTTATGTAGAGAGCGAGAAGGCTCGCTCTACAGACTACAAGAAGTTGCATGTCAAAAGACAGGACACTACGATTACGAGTGTAGTGCCCCTCGTCCATTGTCTCGTAACACTGGGCGTAATGACCATCCACCCATGAGAAAGGGGCAGGGACGCGGGTCCGCTGTTGGTGCGAAAACGCAACAACGGGATGGACCGTCAAATAACGGACAGGATCAGTAGGTGCGGAGCACCCTACTTGTCCAGCAACGTCAAGAGAATTTGTAGGCCTCTTGACGAAGGTTGCTCCCAACACACAAACATTGTTCGTTGCTGCTCTAGGTAATGAGATCTTACTCGTTACCTTGAAACTCGAAGTGACAAATAAGTTGTCCCTTCGAGCTCTAGTCGATTGTGGGGCGTCCGACAATTTTGTTCAACGCCAATCACTAGAAGATGGTCACTTCAAATTCAGTGAATGTGACACACCTCCAACGAGGATGATGGTACGTCTTGCGACAGGCGCATCCATAACCGACAGCGTTATCGTATAGTGAAGATCCACTATACGTTGAAAGATACCCAATATGACGATGACTTTATCGTATTGGATTTGGATGACAAATTCGATGTCATCCTTGGAATACCGTGGCTCAGAAGGTACGAACCACGGGTAAACTGGCAACATCGAACAGTAACGATGCCTGCCGCTTGTTCATCAGATGGCCATCTGATGAACGTTTTGGAGCGTCCACAAGCGTGTGGATGCACTACGAGTGAGTGCGATGGCCTCACTTGTGGTACGGTCGCTAGTACGACTGCACAAAACCTTAGTGTAACAAACGGTCACACTTCGGGGCAAAGTTCCGGCGGCTGAGAGGAAACACAGGCTGCGCCGAAGGTCCACCACTCGAACAAGTCGAGTGGACCGGGACAAAGATGTATCCCTAGCGGGGGACATCTAGAAGAGAAACAATCGATCGCTCAGGTTAAGCGAAACGATAATCCTAGATCGACTGGAGAGTCTTTCGTAGAGGATCTCGCTGTGGTTGCGCCACCCCAGCTAGAGGAAGTAAAGGGAATAAGTCCCAAGATTACAAATACGGCGGAAATAAGTTCCCCGAAACCCGCGGGAATAAGTCCCCGGGAAGCCGAAGGAATAAGTCCTTCGAGGCCTGAGGGAATAAGTCCCCAGGAAATGACTGAGACATTGAATGTCATAGTCAATAACGGATCAAGTGTAGGCGCTTATACACTTGATCTGATTGCGCCTCCGAAGTCGGCTTCGGAGATCACTTAGTTGCCAGCGCTCGAACACAAAAGATTCTTGCGTGATCTGCGTAGTGGCAAAGTCGCTTAAAGTCGGGTCGACGTAAGAGTGCATCCGCGACGACATTAAGTCGTCCTGGTTAGTACTCTACCGTAAAGTTGTGTTCTGCACAGAATGACAACTACCGCGCTATTCGTTGTGAAAGGTGCGGGCTGTTTACTGTCGTGCGTAACGACGCATGGTCTGTGTAAACAATGAAGGTTCTATCTCCTAATAGACAGATTCTGAACTTCGCGAGTGCATACTTCGTGGCAAGGGGTTACTTGTCATGCACTGGATGGTTCCGCTCAGCTGGTTGCAGCTGACGCGGCTGATAGCAGACGACGCGTTCAACGCCTTCAAGATCGAACTGCATTAATGCACAGCCGATTGCAAAATCGCTGGCATCACAGACCACATGAAATGGCCTGTCCTGATCGGCTATTGCTAGGACTGGGGATTGTATCAAGCTCTGCTTGATACCATAAAAGGAGCGCTGACATTCAGCGTTTCTCTCGTTCTTTTTCAACAAACGAGAGAGGTGTACAGTCATCTCGGCGTAATTGCGTGAATCCTTACGCAAATACGCCGGTAACCCAAGGAATTTTCGAAGACCTTTGACATCAACCGGCACAGGCCAGTCGTTGATCGCCTTGATCTTTTCAGGATCAGGACGTACACCGCTCTTACAACGATGCACCAAGAAGTGGTATTTTGCTTGCTGCAAATACACACTTCTTGAGATTTGCATACAATTGACGCTCACGCATGATTGTAAGAACCTGTTGGACGTGGTATCTATGAACCTCAACGTCCGACTTTCCATCCATAGCCCGACTATGGATGGATACGTCATCGAAATTACTCGGTGCAAATTTCCCGTACTGGTCTCAACAGATGTGATACACATCTGTTGAACGTGGCAGGGGCATTACTAAGCTCTTGTGGCATTACTAGCCATTACCAGAGCATGCCGCTAGGCGTGCTCACTGCGGTATAGGGTATGTCTGGATCTCGCATAGGGATTTGGTAGAATCCATCCATCAAATCCATGGGCGAAAAGATGGTACTCTTTGACATACCATCAATGATTACGTCCTACCTTGGTATCGGAGTCTGAGCCGATTCCGTTGCAGCATTCAACTTGTTAAATGCATGCACAATCCGCGACTCTCCTGTTGCTTTTTCGCACACAGAGGGTCGGAGAGCTATGTGGGGAAGTTGATTCCCTCACATGGCCCGCAGCTAAACGATCGGCAAAGAACTTGTCGATCGCAAGTACTTGTTCACGAGGCAGTGGCCACTGCTTCATGACACAGTACTTCGATCCTGGTTTAAGCTCGACCTCGTTTCGAGTACCTTTATCCTTCGGTAATTCGCACGGAACAGTTTCAGGGAATACACCCTTGAATTCAACCAAATCTTCATAGAGAGGATTTGTCTTGAGCGATTCCCACGATTGGGATTCATATCGCTCAATTCGTGTCTTTTCATCTAGGACACTCTCGTCCATAGATGAACTGCTGAGAACTCTCTCTTTTTCAGTAAACACTGTTGCTGACCTTATGTCGGATACACACTCGTCGTCAGCGACGCTCAAGACCCAACAATGGGACAGACACTGTTGCGGTTATGACGTCCACAATGCCATCGTCAACGTTACATGATGATGTGAGGCGGGCGTATGCCCAAGATGGTGAGATAGTGAAGTTGTTGACACATCTCCCTCAACCATCTCGAGAATCGTTGAAACAGTTATCGTCTGCGTATCGATCTGCATCAGATCGATACACTACTTGCAACGGGTTACTGTATTATACAGCCGTTTCTGGTGTCACACCACGTGTTGTCATTCCAGATGATACTGATCTGCGTTTGCGGATCATGTTCGAGTATCACGGTACTCCGATAGGAGGACATCGTGGCCGTGAGAAACATATCTCACGGTGAGTCGAGACTTTTACTGGCCCCGCCAGTATCAGTTTGTGCGAAAGTATGTTAACGCCTGCAAAGTCTGTCAACGAGTGAAGTCAAGTCCTTCACTGCGTGCACCTTTGCAGCCTCTACCGGTTCTGGCAGAGTGCTGGGAATCCACCTCAATGGATTTTTTCTTCGGGTTACCCAAAGACGCACGCAAGAATACGGGTATTCTTGTATTTTTTGGCAGAT